CTCAACAAATCGGGTACTCCTCCTTCTACTGCTCTTTCAGTAACCTCAGGTAACTCTTCATGGTATTTTGATTCCGCATGTTGTAATCACATGACTTCTAACTCCACTCTATTTTCTTCTTTGTCATCATCCTCTTCTGCTCCCACTATACACACTGCTGATGGTTCTCATATGCCTGTTAGTCATATTGGCCAAATCTCTACTTCCACTGTGTCTCTTTCTGATGCTTACCATATTCCTTCTCTTAAAATGAACCTTATATCTGTTGGTCAGTTTTGTGAGCTTGGTCTAACTATTACCTTTTCTGCTAATGGTTGTTTGGTGTAAGACCCTCAGACGAGACAGATCCTTGGGATAGGCCACAAGCATGGACGTCTGTTCAAGTTTATTCATCTTCGTAGTCCGCATAAATCATCTCATGTTGCTGCTGCATCTACTATGTCTCCTTTTCATCTTTGGCATTGTCGCTTAGGACATGTCTCATTTAGTTGTTTAAAAAATTTAGTTTCTAGTGGTCAGTTAGGTCATGTCTGTCTTGACGATGTCGATTGTTTATCTTGTCAAATTGCTAAACAACTTGCATTACCTTTTAATAAAAGTAATTCTATTTCTACTGCTCCTTTTGATCTTATGCATTCAGATATTTGGGGACCTTCCCCTACACCTACCATGGGGGCGTCTAGATATTTTGTGATTTTTGTTGATGATTTTTCTCCCTATACTTGGCTTTTTTCTTCTCAAAAATCGCTCTGAACTTAAACAGATTTACTATGGTTTCTCTGCTATGATCCACACTCAGTTTTCTTGTACTATTAAGCTTTTTCGTTCTGATAATGCTAAGGAGTACTTGGATTCTGATTTTCTTTCTTTTCTTCGGGCTCATGGTACTCTTTCTCATCGATCTTGTGCAGGCACTTCCCAACAAAATGAACGAGCTGCAAGAAAGCACCGTCATATTCTAGACATTACTCGGGCTCTTCTCCTTTCTTCTTCTTGTCTCGAAAAATTTTGGGGGGAAGCTGCTCTCACTGCCATCCATACCATCAATCGAGTCCCTACCCCTGTAATAGCTAACACAACTCCTTACGAGTGTTTGTATGGTTCTCCTCCTGATTATACCACTCTTAAAGTTTTTGGTTCTGCTTGTTTTGTTCTATTTCAGTCTCATGAACACACTAAACTAGAACCTCGTTCTCGTCTTTGAAAGAAGCCAACGATTAAAGTAGAAGGAAAGATAGAGTGGAGAAAAAAAAAAGAATTGCGAGTAAAAAATAAAAAAATATTATAGAGATATTTGGAGTAAGAATAAACCAACGAACAAAGGAAGAGGTCACCACGAAACGATACTGATAAGAAAACATGACAGCGGAATAGGATGATGTCACGACCCCACTCCGCCCCTAGTAGAATGGTGCCGTAATGGCCAGTAATCCGAGATTACCGAAGGCCAACTCACAAGGGTTCACATACAAATCAGAGTATACATATGGGGCTTACAAGTGCATAAACAATATATATATATATATAAATCTACTTAGTCCATAAGAGTTGTGCGTAGATCAAATGAAATGACATGCATCTTAATAAAGTTTACAACTTGGACACAATAAAATAAAGTACAAAATACATCTTGATCAAAAGGCTTCTCAAGCCAACATAAACAAAAAAGAGTGAACTACAAGCCAAGAAGCATGAACTTCAAGATGCTACAAAATACGAATCCAAAACAAGTTACAAATAATCATCTAGGCGTCGCCGCCTTCTTGCTCATCACCTACATATATATAAAAGAGGGTGAGCTTGGATACTCAGTGAATGATATCAGTAATAAAGGTTTTGCATGAATGATATTCAAGATCTCTTTTCTAAACAATATATAGCATAACTTATACAAAATCAAGGGATGAACCAAGTCCATCTATCAAGTCTTTCAAATCTTCAAGGGATGCTTATTACAATCAATGTAATACAAGGGATGACATTAAACAAAGGTGCTACAAAAGCTTAGAGTCCTCTAGCATGTAAGGATTTGTGCTACAAAGGTTTAGAGTCCCCTAGCACGTACGGACTTGTGCTACAAAAGTTTAGAGTCCCCTAGCACGTACGGACTTTCCAAGAATGCCATCCAAAACAAGGCTAATACATGATACACAAAATAGGGGCATTCATTCATGTTTGATCAAATACTTTTCCAAAACAAAGCAAAGCAAAGCTTTCATCAAAACATTATAACATAACTTTATTAAAAATACCACTCACATAGTTCTTCGGGTGTAGGAATTACAAGCCAAGATCCAAGGCCTACAAGCACATAATAAATCCCATTGAATGAGTTTCAATTAGACAAGGTGAGATGCTCAAAGATGGATATGAAATGCATCCTTAAAACAAGCTTTACATGACAGGAAATGATCTCTACATTTCTTTCAAAATCAAGTCAAAGCAGAACATGCTGGGAAGTTAAAACATTGCCTTTTCATCTCGGGAAAACATGCTGGGTACTAACCAGGTCTAGGTCGAGGTTCCACACCTCTTGGTCGAGGTGTGTTCCCGACGACAATGAAGTCTGGGAAAATCTGGGTTTCCTTTTGAAGAACATGAAGGACAAGAACAAGAAATGCTAAAATCATAACTTCTTCATTCGAAATCTGAGTTTTCATGAGATGAGTTTGAAAACATAGACCTGGGTACCCATACTTGAAGATTTCATGGAAACAAACACAAAAATAAAATAGGACCAGACAACAGTAGGTATGCTAAGTGATTTCTATTAATATAAAATAGGACCAGACAACAGTAGGTATGCTAAGTGATTTCTATTAATATAAAATAGGACCAGACAACAGTAGGTATGCTAAGTGATTTCTATTAATATAAAATAGGACCAGACAACAGTAGGTATGCTAAGTGATTTCTATTAATATAAAATAGGACCAGACAACAGTAGGTATGCTAAGTGATTTCTATTAATATAAAATAGGACCAGACAACAGTAGGTATGCTAAGTGATTTCTATTAATATAAAATAGGACCAGACAACAGTAGGTATGCTAAGTGATTTCTATTAATATAAAATAGGACCAGACAACAGTAGGTATGCTAAGTGATTTCTATTAATATAAAATAGGACCAGACAACAGTAGGTATGCTAAGTGATTTCTATTAATATAAAATAGGACCAGACAACAGTAGGTATGCTAAGTGATTTCTATTAATATAAAATAGGACCAGACAACAGTAGGTATGCTAAGTGATTTCTATTAATATAAAATAGGACCAGACAACAGTAGGTATGCTAAGTGATTTCTATTAATATAAAATAGGACCAGACAACAGTAGGTATGCTAAGTGATTTCTATTAATATAAAATAGGACCAGACAACAGTAGGTATGCTAAGTGATTTCTATTAATATAAAATAGGACCAGACAACAGTAGGTATGCTAAGTGATTTCTATTAATATAAAATAGGACCAGACAACAGTAGGTATGCTAAGTGATTTCTATTAATATAAAATAGGACCAGACAACAGTAGGTATGCTAAGTGATTTCTATTAATATAAAATAGGACCAGACAACAGTAGGTATGCTAAGTGATTTCTATTAATATAAAATAGGACCAGACAACAGTAGGTATGCTAAGTGATTTCTATTAATATGATCCATCTTCAACATACACAAAAAAACAATGTTCAATGTGGCAATACTGCAATTTTGATGCTAAAAATCTTAGATCAGATAATGTTATAGGCTCACACATTAGCTTGTTACTGTTGATTCCAATTAGATCTACAACATTTGATATGACTACAACTATAAGTGGATATGAGAAGTTGACTTTCTTAAACTGCTATGCTTTAACCAGTATATACTAACAAATATGAGAAAAATGAAAAGATAAAAGAAGATAGGCTTACCAAAAAGGTGATCTATGAGTTCATGAGATGCCTCCTCTAAATTATTTATTGAAACCTTGTTTTTTAAGAAAATCCATGATGCTTGATGTCATCTTCAAATGCTCCTCACTTGTCTCATTCATTTTCGCTATCACATTGCTTTGTGCTTGAATTTCCTCTTTTTGTGCTTGAATTTCATGTTTCTGTGCTATAAGAGATGACTGTGCCAATCGTTTTGGTAGCATTGGTAAGCCATGAAAAACATAATACAAAAGCATAAACAAAGGGGCATTTGGATCCAAACATCATAACAAATGTCATAGAATTGGAGAAGAGGACAACCAAACCAGGGAAACATAGCTTCCACACCCAAAGAAGTGAATGCAACCCAAAAGGAAAAAAAAGACATTGAAGGAGAGGCACCACGAGGTTAATCTAAGGCAAAGGATATAGACATGAAAGCACCTCTTTCTCCCTGGCCAGAAGCTATAGAGAGAGAAGCTCTCAACTATAGATAGAGAAAATCATTAGTAACTTAAAAATAATTAATTGTTTATTAGATGTTCAAATTTAATGCTGCGAATTGCTTCTTCCACATGATAGAAAATGATGCAGGTAAATTGTAAACTTTGCAGAGACGAGCTATAGTTGATGCATTGGTGAGATGTACAAAGCCAGCAAGACTCAGGGATCTCTATGCTTTTACTGCTTACCCTTCCAAATTCAGTAACACCAACACCAACCCTAAGGTGCGGCTACTAAATGAGTACTTTCGGCTTCTTGGAATGGGTTCGTATCAAGCATCAACTAGCACTATTGAAGATGGGTCATTCACATTGTCTAATGAGTGGTGGAGAATTAGCGGTGTGAATTCCAACTACACAATGTGCCCAACTTATCCATTTGCCTTGATTGTTCCAAAAAGCATTCGGTGAGGCATTTGATGTCCATACTTCATATTTTCACTTGCAAAAATGTTCCTGACTTTACTCATGTCTCACTAGATTTTTGTGTCTATGATTACTAGCATATTATTTGCTCAAAAAAACCCCAATCACTAACTTATTTTCTTGAATAAGTAATATATTCCATTCAAATGTCTACACAAATCAGTACAACCAGGGTAGTCCCCACTCGATCCTTTTGATGAGATAACCAAAGGCTTTTCTGAACCATGGACACGGAAAAACAAATTATTTAACCAATAATTCATAATGGTACATCGAAAGATACACAAGAAAGAAACTACACAGACATTAATACCACCCACAAGCAAAACAGGAAGAACAAAATCTGTTGCAAGGAAGAAGCACTACATAATAGTAGCATACCTTGTCCTGACACATTTCTGCCTCTGTGAGAGAAACAAGCTGCAATATTAGAAAAGAGAGGAAAAATTAACATCTGAAGAAATGATTATGAGATTAAGCAATTGGTATGAATCTAGTAGTAAATTTAAGTATTTATGTAGAAATGGTCAAAAACTTTCATAAAGAAACTTTGACAAATGAAATCTAGCATGCACCCAAGGAACAACTACTCATTGGAAAGTAAAATAAGTAATCCCACTATTGCTTAGTTATAACAGCTCATGTTTTAACCCACTATGACTCTACTGCATCAAATATATATTAAAAAAACTTAATTTCCTAGAAATAGACTTTTCTTGATTATTGCTAAATAGGAACCACTTACATCGTGATATAATAGCTCTGCTCCACTCAACTTTTAGAAACCCAATCCATCTTCCTTGACCATATTAAGTTTACAAGCTGCAAGATGGTGAAAAAATGGAGAGAAACTAGTTAGCATCCATCATTTTTAGCACATGGGACCTATAGGAAAAGGAAATAAATATTTCTTCTAATCAAATTGAGGTACATGTCTTCAAATAAATATTTGGTTCTTATTTCTTTAAATGAAGGGGTTGACCAATGTGAATTATTTAACACGTGTAGACTTGTATACAAAAACAGTTTCTCAATCAGCACTGATTTACATTCTATTGACTGAGACCTATAAAATGATACGAGTGAGCTACATACCTATGGCCGCTGATGGAGTTATTGGGAAGTCAGAAAGCACGCCATCCACAGAGAAGTTTCCATTGTCAATAAAAGATAGATACTCAGCTACAGGGTTATAACTGAAATTGTAAGCAAAAGGTACGTCATTTGCAAAATCTGACGCAAAAACTTCTAGACCTTCTTTATGAGCATCCAAAACAACTGAGGTATGAGGCTGTAAATATAGATTATCTACAGGCCATATATAAGACTTGGGAACAAGAATTCCAGAAGCAAATGTCTTGATAAATGTCAAATTACTATACATGGACTTTTAAGAGCTCCTAAACTATTCCTATTTGGAAACTACGAATTTGACAGGCATAATCTATCTGAAATACAAAATATATGTGTTAGTGCATAAAAAGCCATCCCTCATGTCCTTTTGTATATAAAAAGTTAAGGGGGAATTACTTTACAGTCGCACAAAAAAAAAAATTACAAAAACATTGGGGGTACAAATGATTATGTGATGGGGTGTAAGTGAAAAATTGTGCGACTGCAAATCTCACTTGCAACCCTCCATATTTGGGGTTTTCTAATTTTTTTTTTTTAACTGTCCAACTAGTAAGTAATTGCCCCAAAAGTTAATACTCTTACTTTATGTGATGCATTTCACATACATAAATCAAAATTAAACCAGAAGATCTCAGTATCATGATCAAAGATGGGCTCTATATATGTTACGGCTAAAATTGTCCAGAATGAAAGATAAAAGGAAAAACAATTAAGCCAAATGATTTGTAAATTTACCTTCAAGCCTGCTCAACCTACTATTTTGTGACTACAGTGATAGCATCTGGGTGGCGAGCAACTTAGAAACAGATTACATGTAATATCCATAAAGTAATGAGAATAACAGCTTTCTTCAGAAAAACAAGGAGTGAGAGGTGAGGAAACGAGATAGGCTAACCTCAATGGCACCTTGCTCGCTAGGAATAAATTCAAGCTTGTCTTCAACATCTGCCAAAGCCTCTTTGAGCTCATCAACCAATGATTCATTCCTAACAACAACTAATTGAGGTTTGAATGTCTTGACCTACACGATGAAAAATGTTTTATCAACAAAGTTTCTGCAGTGAATAAAAACCTATATCTAGTGCATGACTTGTAATGAAACAATAATGAGAACAGAACCAGGTATGCAATTTATTAAGAAAAGGGTTGGCACTTGTAGAACCCATTGCTGGATCATGTTAGCTTCAAGAGAATGTCTTTTTTATAAATGGAATAAATAGTACTTACAAATTAACAATAGAAGAGCACCAATCGTTACGTATGATAACTGTCTATTAGAAATGCTATGGCCAATTTCTTGAAACTCTTTAATCTACTAGGTTTGGACTCTATTCCACTTTTTTCTTCCTTTTCATGCGGGCACTGCAGGAATTTAATGACATATATGCAACTCCATGTAGCAGCTAAAGTTAGTTTCTGTATGAAAGCTTATCAAATCCAAAAGAGAGACTTAATTGACAGATTAAGGGACTAGTCTTTTAGGAAACATTTGTTTGGGCTCTTAGAGGGTGGGACTGATTAACAATCTAGGTGGCCCATCAAAATCATGTCTGGTTGTGATAAAATACCATGGGACTACAATCCCGGCAAAATAGTCTGTTCACATTCAATCCCATGAGATTGGATAGCATCCCAACCCTGCCATGGGAATTCTTAAATTTCGCCCTTGAGGGGATC